TAGATTTTACCTCTGCAGATCTCTGGTTGATTTCCCCCTCTGCAGCATCTCTCTAATATGCCCCTTTCTCTCCTCGAACATGGTCCCTAGCATGGTGAAGGCCCTTCTCACCTCATGCCTGGACTGTTGAAATAGCCTTTTGGTGGTTCTCCCTGCCCTGAGTCTCTCTCCACTCCAGTCCATCCTCTATTAAGTCATCAAAGGGATTTTCCTAAAGCACAGGTATGACCATGCCCCCTTCCCCCCATAACCTCTAGTGGTTTCCTGTCACCTCCAGGAGCAAATGTAAATGTCTATCATTTCAAACTCTTAGTAGATTGATCTCTTCCTACATTTCCAGCCTCATATTACATTTACTTATTCCATATTACTTCCTTCCCTGCCCAAACTAGAGCCTTCGTGTCGTACCTCCTACATGACACTCTCTATCTGGTCTCCATGCCTTTGCACTGACTCTCCTCCGTGTGAGGAATGCCTTCCTTCCTCATCTCTGCCTGCTGGCTCCTTTGGAGTCCCAGCTCACATCCCACCTCTTGCAGGAGGTCTTCCCAGCCCGTCCCCCTGCTAGAGCCTTCACTTAGTGTTTTGAATGTGTCTTCTATCGGCCTCTACACTGTATATACATGGGGTCTCCCTTGATAGAATGTCAATGCCTGAGGGCAGGGTCTGTTTCACCCTAGTCTTTGCAGCTCTAGCACAGTGCCTGACACACAATGGGCTCTTAAGAAATGCTCTTTAATGGACTGATTGGTCTGGTCCTCACTGGCTTCCTTATGGGCAGCCCGGGTGTACCAGCATCTTTAAGAGCCCATTCCAGCTCCCGTCCTTGTGTCATTTTCCTGCGTTACGGGAGTAAAGTGAGACTCAGTAAAGCAGGGGCTAGGCCACTAGAGCCCCTCCCCATTATGCCTTTTTGTAATGTTCCCAGGAACTCAGGGAATAAAAGGAGGCTTGGGGTAAATATGCTGAGATTGAGGAAGAAGCTTGACCTCAAACCCAGGCCTTTGGGGACCACACTCCCTGCTCTTCTCACTAAGATGTGAAAGCTTCCCAGGCAGATGCCATCCCAGGCTTGAACCAAATACACTTTCTCTGTTTCAGTTGTGGTCTTGCTAGTGAGATTGTCCATTCAGTCCTGGGCAGCTAGGTGGCCCAGTGGGCTGTGAGGAAGGACAGTGGATAGCACTGGGTCTGAAGTCAAGAAGTCCTGAGTTCAAATCCAGCCTCAGGCACTCCTAGCTGTGTGACCCTGGGTGAGTCTGGTCACTGCTGCCTTCCTCAGTTTCCTTATCTGTAAAATGGGGATGCTAACAGAATAGCACCTACCTTGAAAGACTGTTGTGAGGATCAAATGAAGTAATCATTGTAAAGTGCTTAGCACAGCTCCCAGCATACAGCAGGCACTCCCTCAATGCGTGTTTCCTTCCTTGAAAACTCTCCCTGCCTAGCCCTTCCTGGGCAGCCATGGCAGTCCTCAGGCAGGGGCGCAGAAGGCAAAGGTAGGCCCAGAGAGGGCTCAGGGCTTGGCCAAAGTCATAAAGGGAAGGGGCATGGAAGCTGAGCTGGGAGGGCCTGGCCTGGCCAGATCTTGGCTTCCTCAGGCCTCTACTTAAGAGACTCCAGCAAGGGCAGCCCAGCCCATGGCTATGCAGGGAGCCCGGGCTCTCCAAGGCCTGCCCACCCAGGCCTACTTGCTGGCATCAGACTGAGTCTTCATTCTGAGGCACGGGCCCTAACGACCCCCACCAACCCCACCATGGTCAGGCCCCTCCCTGTACACCTCCCCCAGTCCTAGAGTGGGGCTTTACCCCTCAACAGACTGTCCGGTCATACTTGCTATGGATCCTTGATTTCAGGAGCCCGTGACCTTCAGGGATGTGGCCGTGGACTTCACCCCTGAGGAGTGGGGGCGACTGGGTCTCGCTCAGAGGGAATTGTACCGGGACGTGATGCTGGAGACCTACCGGAACCTGGTGTCCCTGGGTAAGCGGCTCCCATCTGCTCCCCCAGCGCCTCTGCCTCTCCTCCTGCTCAGCCTGCTGCTTGGCACCTTCATGCTTTCCTCTCTTTTTATCCTTGGGATGGCAGGGGTCAGCTTTGCCGTGTGACTCCTGAGGCTGGATCTTCCAGGCCTCTTTCCTCCCTTGAGCCCAGCCTGTCCCGCTCACGTGTGCTGGGAGGTCGTCTCCCCAGCGTGACCCAGGGGCCCTGGCAGAGGTCCCGTGCCCCATGCTCTGGGCCTCCACACTCCATCTTCTCCCTCCGGAATAAGGGCTGGGGCTTGGATTGGGGAGAGCTCTATCCACAGCCCAGACAGCCAGGTGCTGTTTCTCCCTCCACATGCAGGACTTCTGTTTCCAAACCAAAGGTGACGTCTCGGCTGGAGCCCAGGCATGAGCCATGGGGGGTCCAGGGAGCAGCCCCTCCCAGCCCCTGGTCAGGTACGGGAGGGAGGCCATCCCCTCTTCCTGGACTCCTCCCTAGAAGAGACTTTAGCCCAGCCCGGGGCTCTGGAGAGTCTTAGGGGAGGCGTGACAGCAGCCCGTGAGAAGCTCACATGTGGTTCATATGGAGCTGGTCACTCTGAAACCCTCCAAGGCCACTCGACGGTCTCAGTCTCCCCCTTCATTCTGATCTTTGCAGGCCTCAGGTTCTTTTCCTTGGCAGACTCTAGTCATTCCACTTTCGCCCTGAATATTTTGTTTTCTTTTGTTTTTTATTAATTTATTTTAAACGTAAATAGACAATAAGAAAAGAAAAAGAAACACATCATACACCTAAATATTAAAGCTTAAATATGGAATAAGAAAAGAGAGAAAAAGCATTGCCATGTGCAGGGCAGAATGTACGAAACAGACAGCAATCAGTTTCCATTTCCAGAAAGCCGTGTAATGAGCGCTGCAGGTCGCACTCGCACTTGCACTCACACTCGCACTCAGAGCCCTCCAACTTCTCTGCGCTTTCTGCTGAGTTTCTCTTGTTCTCTGCCGTGCACTTTGTACTCTGTTCTTTCTTCCCTCTCCCTCCTCCAAGAAGACTGCAATTAAGCACAGATATCTTTATACACACATACATACATACGCACATTTGTATTTTTCCAGGTCCGCCAACTCAACATTTCCTACACCACAGCAATATTTCAACCTTATACTGTCTAGTTATTTAAATAGTCTAAAACAATATTGATTAATATGGCTGACGTGTAGTATAGTTTCCCTGTTTTCCTCTTTTGATTAAATCTATTTTAGCTTTAATTTTGTCTGAGATCATGATTACTACCCCTGCTTTATTTTCCCTAATAAATTCTACTCCTGATCTTCATTTTGTGTTTGTGTGTTTCTTATTTCCTATCCCTCCTAATTCGTCTACTTTACTTCTCCCCGTTACTTAACCTGCCCCATCTCCAAGGATCCCTGCTTTTCCTCCAGTTCACGCTCTTATGCTCCCTCCCCTCATCCCCTCCCCCATCCCTGTCCCCTTGGCCTTTTCTTTCTTTCTGAATCGAGAAGACTTTTATGCCCTTCTAGACATATGTGTATTGTTCCCTCGAACCCATTCCCCACGAGAGTAGATTTCCAGAATTACCTAATTCCTCTGGGTCAGTGCTTCCTCTTCTACCTCATTTGTATAAGATAATCACTCTTTTTACCTTTTCCTAAACGGTTTTCATTTTTAGAGTCACATCACACTCAGGCCTACCCCCATCTTGCTTTTGAACTACCCAATTACTAGTAACAGTCTTAGACATATATTTTACATTTTCTCATATAAAAAGTGAATAGTCCTTCCTTTTGGAGTCCCTCATAATTAGTCTTTGATATGTACCTCATATTTCTCTTGGATCTAATATATCAAATATTCCACTAAGTTCAGGGTTTTGTTTTGTTTTTAAACAAAATCCTGAAAGACTGGCAATTCGTTAAATGTCCTTTTTTTTTTTAATTCAGGGTTATGCTTAACTTTGCTACGTATGATATTTTCTGCCACAACCATACATGTATCTGTCTATCTATCTATATATGTGTCTGTATATATATATATATGTATGTATGTATGTATGTATGTATTATGTATGTATATATATAGTGTTCCAAGACCTGCAGTCTTTTAGTGTTGCCACTGGAGGATCTTATGTGATTCTAATTGTGGCACTGCCATATTTAAAATTTTTTTTTCTGGTTGCTCCTATTTTCTCCTTGAGCTGGGGGTTTCGGAATTTGACTATGATATTCCTGTAGGTTTTCCTCGTAGGATCTCTTTCAGGTAGTGATCAATGGAGTTTTTCTGTTTCTACTTTCTCCTCTTGTTTTAACTCTTCAGGACAATTTTCTTTCATTATTTCTTGTAGTATTGTATCAAGATTCTCTTTTTGATCGTAGCTTTCAGGTAATCTGATTATTCTTATGTTTTCTCTTCTTGATCTGTTCTCCAGATCAATTGTTTTTCTTATGTGATGCTTCACATTCTTTTCTATTTTTTTTATTCTTTATATTTTGTTTTATTATTTCTTGGTCTCTTATAACTTCACTGGCTTCCCCTTGCCCAGTTCTAATTTTCAAGGAGTCATTTTCTTCCTTAAGATTCTGGATCTCCTTTTCTAATTGGTTGACTTTCCTTTCATAATCTTGTTTTTCTTGGGTTTTTCTTATTTTTAAAACTTTTTCCTCAGTCTCTAAGTTTTTCTATGAATTCTTTTTGGGCAGGTGACCATTTGACATTACTCTTTGGGGTAGGAGAGGCTTTTTTTTGCTTCAGTATCCTCTGAAGATGAATCCCGGTCTTCTCTATTCCCATAGTAACTTTCTATAGTTGGCTTTTTGTCTCCTTTGCCTGTTCATGTTTTGTTTTGTTTTTTTTTAATTTATAGCAGCTTGTTATTGTAATCACCTCTAGTCCTGGGGTATGGGGGATGGTATCTCTGGCCTCAGATCTTCCTTCAGTTCTCCTGTCTGCCTGGAACCTAAACTAAGAACTGCACCCTCCGATAAGTGTCCACACCACCCACTACTTCTGCCCTCACCAGGGGTGGGCTGGTTCCTTCTTGCCCAGGGCTGCATGTCAGCAGCACAGCTGGACCTGGTGTCCCTTTTCAGCAGGGGTTCCCTCAGTCTTCCCTGGCTTAGAGGCCTGACTCAAACACTGTCCAGGAGGTGAAAGTTCCTGTGGCTGGGGCTGAGAGGCTACCTCCCTACCCAGGCAGCCTCAGGGCTCACTGCCTGCTATTTCAGCAGAACTATCCTGGAGGTGTTTACACTTCACAGGGCCCAAACCTCTTGCCGAGATTTTTCTTCCCAGGAGGACCACTGTTCTGCCCCAGCTCTTGTTTATTTTTAACTGCTCTGTGTTTGCATTGAGGCACAATTTTATATTATTTGTGGGGAAAATCTGGAGAGCTTGGAAGTTTCTGACCTACTCCACCATCTTCCCAGAATCTTCTCTCCTTGATTTTTTTTTTTAGACCATTGTGGCATACACACTACACAGGCACTCACCTTTAATTTCCCTCTTTTTTTCTCCTTGATGTTTTTAGAAAATGAACCCTTTTGGTCATCCATAGCACTCCTTGCCCTTCTTCGATTTAGTCTCCTGTGAGTTCCTGGGTGTCCATAGGGCTAGCCTCCCCGCTCTTCTATAGTGCCCCTCTCATACCTAGCTGGGTGGATATACATTGGTGACTTTCTTCTTCCCCGTTGGATATTTTCCACTTCATGCCCATTGGATTTGATCCTCATGATTCAAGGCAAGTGCATTCTTACCTAGTCTATCTCCCCTAAAGAAGTCTTTGCCTTTGATCAGCATTAGTGATGAAATACCACCCATGTCCTTGAGGGCTTCAGTATCCTGAGCAATTCTCTGAGATTCCTTTGGGCAGGGTAATTTACATCTTCATGAGCCACTGGAAGAGGGCATTGGGTATCCATTTTGGTGAGTCTTGGGAGGTTGATACATCCTGGTTTTGCCTGCCTTCCAACACCAAACAGAAGGAGTCCAATTTCCCCTCCCTCCAGGCTTTGGGATTCCTTCCAGCTGTGAAAGTCATAAGGTGTGCCCTCTCCCCCTCTCCTATCCCATCTTTATCTTGCTTACCTCCCCCTACCCCCGCCACTTTCCTGTTTGAGAGCTTCCAGACTTCCATATTCCATCCCATGTTTCAGTGCTGCTGTTTTCTTTCTTCTAGCATAAGAAATCTGAATTTTTTTTATATCTTTCAGACTGGGAGTCAAAGCTAGAGACCAGAATGTCAACTGCAAAGCAAGACTTTGCTAAGGAAGAGGCATATCAGTGGATGATGATGGATGGACCTTGGAATAAGGTGGGAAAAACCTGGGAAGAATGTGAAGGCATGCTGGAGAATGAGCGAAACAAAGAGACACTTTCTGAGGAAATGAATGTTCCCTATGAGAAAATTTTTATTGAGGGGAGAGACCAAGAAATTAAAGATTTGGGAGGAAACCTCAGTTTCAGATCATCTCTCAGTATACAGCAAAACATTCTTAGTGAAAAGATTTCTCAAATATGGTACAAACATGGAAAGAGACACAAACAAAATTCAGACCTAATTAATCACCCAAAAATTTATTCAGGGAAGAAGTGTCATAAATGTAATGATTGTGGAAAAACCTTCGCCCGGATTTCACACTTTACTGAGCATCACAGAACTCATACTGGAGAGAAACCCTATAAATGTAATGACTGTGGGAAAGCCTTTGCCCGTATTTCTTGCCTTAACAGACATCAGAGAATTCATACTGGAGAGAAACCCTATAAATGTAATGATTGTGGAAAAGCCTTTTTCTATATATCACAACTTACTGGGCATCAGCGAATTCATACTGGAGAGAAACCCTACAAATGTAATGAATGTGGGAAAATGTTTGGCCATAGCAAATCCCTTACAGTACACCAGAGGATTCATACTGGAAAGAAACCCTATAAATGTAATGAATGTGGGAAAGCCTTCAGTCAGGGCTCAACTCTTTCTTTACATCAGAGAACTCACAGTGAGGAGAAGCCCTATAAATGTAATAAATGTGGGAAAGTTTTCAGTCATCGATCATACCTTATTCGGCATCATGTAGTTCACACTGGAGAAAAACCCTATGAATGTACAGAATGTTGGAAATCCTTCCGACTCAGCTCATCCCTTTCACTTCATCAAAGAATTCATACTAGAGAAAAACCTTATGAGTGTAGTGAATGTGGAAAAACTTTCAGTCTGGGCTCTTACCTTTTGTTGCATCAGAAAACTCATATGACAGAGAAGTCCTATAAATGTGATGAATGTGGAAAAGCTTTCAACAACAGCTCCTCTCTTACTAAGCATGAGAGGACGCATACTGGAGAGAAACCCTATAAGTGTCATGAATGTGAAAAGGCTTTCAGCAGGAAGTCCTCCCTTCCTAAACATCAGAGACTTCACCACAATGGGGAGTTACCCTTTAAATGTGATGAATGTGGGAAAGGCTTTATCTGGGTTTCACAACTTACTGAACACCAGAGAGTTCATACTGGAGAGAAACCCTATAAATGCCATGAATGTGGGAAGGCCTTCAACATCAGCACATCCCTGATTAAGCATAAGAAATGTCACACTGGAGAGAAACCTTATAAGTGCAATGAATGTGAGAGAGCCTTTTTTGATAGCTCCACTCTTATTGTACATCAGAGGACTCATACTGGAGAAAAACCCTATAAATGTGATGAGTGTGGCAAAGCCTTCAGCCACAGCTCATCCCTTGGTCAACACCAGAGAATTCACAGTAGAGAAAAATCTTATCACTGTAGTGAGTGTGGGAAGGCCTTTACTCGATTTTCTGGACTCAATATACATCAAAGAATTCATACTGGAGAGAAACCATACAAATGTGAGGAATGTGGCAAAGCCTTCACCAATGGCTCTTCTCTTAATCAGCATAAGAAAATTCATACAGGACAGAATTCCTATAAATGTAATGAATGTGGAAAGGCCTTTAGACAAAGTTCACGCCTTATCCAACACCAGAGAGTTCACAGTGGAGAGAAACCCTATACATGTACCAAATGTGGGAAAGCCTTCACCAGTGGTTCATCTCTTGCAAGACATCAGAGAATTCATATAGGAGAGAACCCTTGAGAATGCAGTGAAATGGAAGAAAGCATAAGAAAGCATCCATCAGACTTGTCACACTGTAACTCAGAATCATGGTACACTACTCCATGGGACATTGAGGACTAGAGCTCTTTTCTCTATTTCCGTCTGTCACTAAACAGTCCTTAAATACTTATTAAGCACCTACTATGTTTGAGAAGGGCACAAGATAGTTCCTGCCCTCAAGGAGCTTATGTACAAAAACAATTTGAAGAGGGGAGGCTGGGATGGAGGTTCCTCAAAGTCCCGGAGGAGTCTACCAGGGTGGGAAATTAAGAGACAGCTGGCCTAGGCACCTTCCTCAAATGGAGGTTCTGGGAAGAGGTCTCTCCTCTCCGCCTGCCCCGCCCCCACCAGGTGGAGGGTACTGACAAAGTGTGCATGTGTGAGTTCCAGGACTGACGTGACCTTTCAGGATGAGGAGATTTCCAGAGTGTGATGGAGAAGACCAGACAAGGCAGCTTCTGGATTGAATACAGCCAGGGACCTGGAGACTTGCCTGAGTCTGAGGATGAGGGGGAGGGGGTGGGTCTGCGATATGAAGGAGCAGTTGCCAAATACTGACCTTTTCCAAAAATTGTTTCTTAAATTCTTCATTAAAGTGAAACTTTAGTAATGAGCAGAACAGTGAAATAAAGTTTGCTTTTTTTATTTATCAAGTAAGAGAAATGCACCAGTGACATTTTTTCATCATTAGATTTTGTCCTTATCACAATTCACTCTCTAATCCTGTGCTTGGATTTAGCCAAATAAGAACAAACCTTAAGAACAAAAACAAACCTTAAGTTCATCCTGAATTTCACAGAAATTCAGAAGCTGGAAAGGAACCTATGAGATCAACCAGTCCAACCCAGTTTTGGTTTCAAAACCTCAGCAATCGGGGCAGCTAGGTGACACAGGGCACCAGTCCTGGATTCAGGAGGACCTGAGTTCAAATCTGGCTTCCGGCACATAACACTTAGTAGCTGTGTGACCCTGGGCAACTCAGTTAACCCCATTGCCTAGCCAAAACAAAAACAAACAAACAAAAAAAAACCTCAGCAATCTTTCTGTGTCTTGTGTTAGCATATTCCTGCCTCACCCCCCGCCAAATATACACACATTCCTTCCCCCCTCACCCCATGACCTTTGAGGTAGAGGAGTGACCCAGAGCAAATGAGGATTTAATGAGTATTGATGTGTTGATCTTACATGGCTAAAAGGTACATGGATTTGGGTGCCAAACTACCCCTTTACACCTGGACAGCACATTGCAAAACATGTCTAGATAATTTAATATTTGTAGATAATCCCATCTGTTTCTCCTTCCATCCTCCTTCCAATGGTGTTGAAAGGTAGTAAGGCCCAGCCCCACCCATCACCTGTCACTCAGGGATTACAGCACTGGGCAACCAAAAGGTCATGGTGCCCCCAAAGAAATGGGGAAGTTGGGAGGAGGGGTGAGTAGATAACAAGCCCTATTCTGGACTGGAGGAATTTGAAATTTCACTTGAGACGCTTGGCTGAAGGTGTCTAGCAGGCTGTTGGTGTTGCATGCTTGGACCTCAAGAAAGACACACAGACCTGGGAGTCATCTATACAGAAATGATCATTAAACCCATGTGGGCTCATAAAGGCACCAAGTGAGAGGATGTATAGAAAGAGGGCCCAAGAGAGGACCTTGGGGGACCCAGACATGAAAAATGGTTCCTGCAAGTAGACTGAGGAGCGGTCACAGGGGCAGGAGAGCTGGGAGAGAGGTTTGTCTTAGCAAGGAAGTATTGGAGAGAGGGGGAAATCATTATTCAGCACCTACTGTGTGCCAGGTATGTGCGAAGCACTGGTTAACTACTTATCAATGGCTGACATTTTTTTTTTTTAAATGAGAGAGTTTAAGCAGAATGAGAAGCAGGAAAAGGCCCTTGGATCGGCAATAAAGAAATCATTGGTGACATAAGAGAGAGCAGTTTCAGTCAATGATGGAGTTGGAAGGTGGACTGCAAAAGGAGGAAAAGGGAATGAGGTGGGAAACATGAGACAATAGGCATCAATGGCTCTTTCTACTGGGAAAGGGAGAAGACATTTAGGGTGAGTTAGGGTTAGAGGAGCTGGTAGGGCCACACGGAGGGCAGGGAAGGCCTGGGCATACTTGTGGGTGGCTCAGAAAGCAACCAAGGATAAAAGGGGGGGATGATGGACCGAGCAAACTCCCAGAGGAGACAAAAGGGAGAAGATTGAAGGGTTGTACTTGGCAAGAAGACAGGCCACCTCCTCATCAGAAATTGGACAGAGAAGAAAGGATTATAGAGGGGTTTTAGGCACCCCTCACCAAGGGGAGAACAGGGAGCTCGGCTCGTGGTGGATGGCCTCTCTTCCCTTAGTAAAGTAGATGAGATTCTCTTGGGAGAGGAATAGGGAATGGTGGAAGTGTCCTGAGAGAGGGAACATTTGAAATAGCCACTCCAGACAGAAAGGCAAGATGAGAAGGACTTCTGCATAGCAGCAAGGGCCTAGTTGAGATTAGCTAATGTAACTTTGTAGTGGACCACTCTCCATCAGGGTCCAGCAGCATGCAGTAGGTGTGGAGAAGGCTGATGGTGGGGGTGGCCCATGGCTGGGGTCTGGTGAGGCATTAGCAATAAACACAGATATAAGGGAGGAAGGGAAGGACAACATGGGTGTGAGAAGGAGTGAGGCAGGGCCAGAGATGGGAGGATAGGAAGCTATGATCAGATAAAGGAAGGGAGTACTTCCTGGGATGATGAGATTGAAGATGAAGGAGGAAGATGGAAGAAGCTGATCATGAGATGTGAAGAGGCTCATGCACGGTTGGTGTTTGAGAGGAGACAAATGCATGTCTTGATTTCTTCAAGTAGGAGGCAGAAAGGAAGGCTGTGGGCCAGTCTCTGAACTCCTTGAGGAGGAAGGACCCAGACTTCAGGTGGATGACTGGACTAAGGACCTGAACTTGGGAACTGAATGATCTGAAGGTGGATTGAATGAATACTAAAGGAGAATCTGGAAGTGACTGGGAGGAACAAGGAGTCCGTCTCCTTCCTCCTGGGGCAGCATGTCCTGCTTCCAAAGAAGCCAGGTGAGATGTAGGAGGCAGGGGCTAAATTTCAAGTAGAAAGGGAGAAGGGGAAGAGCTGGTAGTTTGGCCACCATAAGATGGGGAAGAACCTATTGTTAGGGGCCCTGCCTTCCAGGGTCCTGTGATGGATGGACTATAGTGAGGAGAGACCTGAGGCAAGCAGACCCCCTCCCCACAACAGCTATTGTAACAGTCCAGGTGTGAGCTGATGAGGGTCTGTACCAGGGTTGGGGCAGCATCATTGAGAAGGGAGCGTATTCAAGAGATGCTGTAGAGATGAAACGAACCAGAGCTGCTGCGGAGGTGAAAGGGACCAGAGCTGGTGCGGAGGTGAAAGGGACCAGAGATGCTGCGGAGGTGAAATGGACTAGAGATGATGCGGAGGTGAAATGGACCAGAGATGCTGCAGAGGTGAAAGGGACCAGAGCTGGTGCAGCAGAAGTGAAACAGAACAGAGATGCTGCAGAGGTGAAAACAGACCTTGGCACCATATTGGATATGTAGAGTGAGAAAGAGGGAGGAGCCCAAGATAATTTCTAGGTTGGGAGCCTGAAGTACTAGGAGGATAGTGTTGCCCTCCACAGTGACAGGAAAGGGGGTGGGCTTAGGGGAAAAGATAATGAGGAAACACTCTGTGAGAGATGTCCCTAAGTGAGTTGGGCTACTTGGGCAGGTGGTGAGCCGACATCAAGCTGAGGCTGATCTCTTCTCACAAAGGTTTGGTCACTCTTTTTTTTTTATTCTTTTATTTTATTTTTATTTTTTTTAGGCAGTTGGGGTTAAGTGACTTGCCTAGGGTCACACAGCTACTAAGTGTCAAGTATTTGGTCTGAGGCTGCATTTGAACTCAGGTCTTTCTGACTCCAGGGCTGGTACTCTATCCACTGCGCCACCTAGCTGCCCCTGGTCGCTCTGTGCCTGGTTGCATTGGATGGCTCCTGAGCCTTCCTGCTTTCCCGTACTGTGATTCTGTGATTTCTGATTCTACTGCTCCCCCTGTGCTACCCAGTGGGTCAACCCTTCCTTGTAACAAAGAATAAAAGCAGAGGACTGAGGCAATTCAGCAAAAACAGGCACTATTCCACCCCCACAGGCCTCCACCTATGCAATGACTAGAGCCAGTGCTTTTTCCCATGGGTCTCAGACCCTACACCCTGTTGTTCAAAGTCTCCGGAGCATGCTTTCATCTACTGCACTGTCTTTCAGGGTTCAAATTCTGCTTTCAGCAAGCTCAGCTTCCTCAGTTTCCCCTTCCTTAAAAAGATGGGCAAGGGAGGGTGGGGAAACTCTGATTCCCCAGCCGACTTGGTACCCAGAGACTCAGGCCTGAATTTCTGATTTAACTCTTCCCTCTCCAGGGCCCATCTCCAATCTCTACCACAAGACACAGTGGCAGGGACCTCTGTTAACATTTGCTCCTGGGGCTTCTGCTCAGTATTCTGTATTCAAGAAATGGGTCTGCAGACAAATACAGGGGGCAAGACCATTATCAAGGGCCTTAATTGCTACCAATTAACAAGCATGCATAAAGGGACTACTATATGATGAGCACTGTGCTGGGGACACAAACGAAGGCCTGCCCTCAAGGAGCTCCCACTTCAAGTCCAAGGGAAGTGATGCTCATCCAGATCCCAAGCTTGGCCTGCTAAGTGGAGGACAGGGCTCTTTCTACCCCACCTGCAGTTGTACAGTCAAGGCCCAGCCCAGCACCAAGTTTCTTGAATGGATGCATGACTTTGGGGAGAAGCCCAAGGAGGGAGAAATGGAGAAACTCCCAAGGGACGGGAGAGCAAGCAGGGAAGGCAACCAGACTACCCCCCCCTACTCCCAAGCCAGCCAGCCCTGCCCTGTACAATGTACCCAGGACAATCTCCACTCCTGAGCCCAAACCCAGCACTTTCCAGTGCACCCTGGGAAGGCCTTGGCCAAGGCCTTTTCTTCCCCTCATCTCTCTGGGCTTTTTCTGCCATTTGCACAGAAGTGACCTCAGTGGGGCTCCCTGGCTAGGAGTGTGCATTTGTGTATTTGTGTGTACATACCTGTGATCAGAGGGCACATGGTCATGGGTCAGCCCTGGACTTAGAGGACCTGGCTTCAAGTCCTGCATCCTCTACTGAGTCCATCTTACTTTAAGCTCCTCCCCCAATCTGGGCCTGTTTCTTCATCTGAAAAATCCTAAGGATGGACTAGATCCAGAGGTCATCTCATGAGGTCTGTCCCTTCCAGCTATGCCCTTCTTGAACTTGGGAGAATTTTAAAGACACTAGTGGGTGGGGTATCTGCTGCCTGTCATGGGAGGCAGGGTTCGAGCAAGGAGAACCTTGGAACTGCTAACGCGGGGCCCAGAGGCTTCAGTCCAGAACAAGGGCCACAGCCAGAAAGCCCCCTTTGCCAGCACTTGGTAGAGGGGGTCTCTCTCCTTGGTCCTAGCTCCTTGAGAACAGAAATCAGAGCAGTGTTCCCTTGGCCTGTTGATTTGGGGGGGGCAAGGCACTCACAAAAGGAGGAACACCAAGAAGCAAGACACACCAAGTTGGGGTAACTCCTCCCTTCCCTGCCTCTCCCCACCCCAACCCCAAAGGGCTGGTCTAATGTATTTATAGGGTTTCTTGTTTGAAGCTCAGATAATCACAGAAGCAACCCCTGAGATTTCACTGTGGTCTAATCCTTTTGTATTTCATCAACAGTGAAGTGGTCTGAAATTGAGGGGCTGATTCGAATGAGATCCTGGCTCACTGGGTGGGTGAACCCACTGAGGTGTCCAGAATCAAAGGCCAGGTCCTTCCCCCCCAGACCTCCTCCCTAAATATGGGTGCCAGTGCCCATCCTCCATACGTGGCCCCTTCCGGCCTGAGGAAGAACAAGCACCTTCACTGTCTCCAGTTACTGACGGCTCTTCCTGGGGCACTGGGCAGGTGGCAGAGAGGATGCCAGGGAGCTGCAGAGGACGAGCAGAACCAGGGCACTGACATCACACGGCCTTTGAGAGCCAAGAATCTGATCTGTTACAAGGTTCTGGGGAAGACCTGACAAAGATTAAAAATGAAGGCTTTGGGTTCAGCCCACTTTACCTTTCCTGTTTTCTCTGGCCACCCTCCAGAGACAGAAAAGCCTGTGGGGAGACCCGGGCTAAGGGCCGAGGACCACAGTCCTTCAGGGATTGGATGTCACTCCCTCCTTTCTTGAGGCCAAATGACATGCCAAGCTCCTGGAATCATTCCTCCCAGGGCAGGGCTCAGCCAGGACCTGAGGGCTGAGGGGAGCTCTAGCTGTCCCTCCCAGCTCCATCACTGGGGCCTCCAACTCTATGTTGAAGCTGCTCTGCCCACCTGTGGCTGCCCCATTCTGGACCTGGATGCACCGTAGGACCCACCTTCCCCTTGTTTTAGTGGAACCTTTCAGGCTCTCATCATAAGGACACTCATCCTCATGGTTTCTAGTTACCTTGCACTTTACCATTTGTAGAAGGTTTCCTCACAACAGCCCTGTGAGGTAGGCAGGGCAAGTGTTATCACCATTTTAGAGAGGACAATGAGGCTCAAAGTGGCCACACAACTAATGTCCCAGCTGGAATTGAGCCCAAACGCAACACTTTCCAATGTACCAAACCATCATTCGGTGCTTCATTTTGAGACCTACAGGATTAGCTCTCCTTCCTCCTTTGTGTCAACTGTAAATTTGATTACTCTGCCTTCCATGTCTTACCAGTGTTTTAATAAAGAAATGTAGTTATTTATGGAAAAAAAAGTTCCACTTAAATAAACTGGACCACCAGAGAGCCCAGCTCAGCACCCCCCAGGGTCTCTTCCTCAGTCTACGCCGTAACTTTCCAATCAGCCCAGTTCAGCTGAGGTTACTTTGCCTTTCCTGTTTTCTCTTGAAGCCCTCTAAGGAAATGTAATTCTACCAATTATAGAGTTCGATTGATTATCTGTAGCCACCTCCTCCCAAAAGAATTTCTAAGATGCCCTGTGGACCAACACCACTTCCAGTGGGCCTGCACTTTTGAGCTTATTTACTTGTGTGATGTCCCAGAGTCAATTTAATACTGCACTAAGTCAAGGTGAGCCAGACAAATATGGACTCAACAGAGACAAAGCAGATTTTTCTTAACCTTATCTAGTGCCTACCAAGGTGCCTGGCACTTAATAAATGTCTGCGACATGAATGAATCACATTTATATTTTCTCTCCACTTAGAACTGACTGAGGTTCAACAGGTATTAAACTGTGGCTGAAGCTTTTGCCACAGTCATTAAGTGAACATGATTTTTCCTCACTATGGACTCTCTGATGTTGAGTAAGGTACAAAATCTGACTGTAGGCTTTCCCACATTCACTACATTTATAGGGTTTCTCTTCAGTGTGTGTTCTCTGGTGTCGAATAAGTGCTGAGGAGAAACTGAAGGCCTTCCCACACTCATTACATTCATAGGGTTTTTCTCCGGTGTGAATTATATGATGTTGAATAAGGTATGAACGGTTACTAAATGATTTCCCACATTCATTACATTGATATGGTTTCTCCCCAGTGTGAGTTCTCTGATGTAGAGTCAGGGATGAGCCCTGGCTGAAGGCTTTCCCACACTCATTACATTTATAGGGTTTTTCTCCAGTATGAATTTTCTGATGTTCAATAAGAGATGAGCCATGACTGAAAGTTGTTCCGCATTCAACA